AAGGTCTGTGTGATTCCACTTGAGCCTACGACTGCCAGTGAAATTATTTTCTTCTTAATGGAAATGTTGGTTTCTACAGTCTTTTACCTCCAGAGGCTAAGAGGGAATTTGAAGACCAATCTGAAGTCAGCCAGGATGGGAAGACAGTAGAACGTGTGTGTGTGTGTGTGTGTGTGTGTGTGTTCAGGGTGTGGGGTGTTTATGTTCTTGCTTTAGACAGAAGGCAGAGATCCGTGAGACTCTGGACCTTTGGCCACTAGGAGGCGCTGTGGGCCCCTGGTAACCAGGGGACTTGGGAGGGGTGGCGATTCACCCTGGGGAGGCAGCTTAAAGGAACCTTGGCTACAAGCCTGCCTGAGAAAGCAGGTTTGAGATCCCTGAGATCCTGAGGTCCCAGGACATGTGGAACCAGTACAGACTCCTCACTGCCAGGGAAAGTGAGAATGTGCCTGGATTCTCAGGATGTGCCCAGGAGATGGTCTCCTGGAGCTGCAAGGGAAGGGGAGGTGAGGGGGTTGGGGTGGCTGGTGAGGGCTGGGTGATTGTCAGCTGATTGCCTGGTGATTCCCAGCCAGGTGAGTGCCTGGCTGAGTGTCAGGCAGGGGCAGGCAGAGGACAACGAGCTATGTTGTGGGCATATGGAAATGGGGCACCCTTCACACCCACCCCTTGCTCGGGGGCTGTGAAGGGCAGGGAATGATATAGAGGGCTCACCTTTGGTCCTGGCAAGGAGTACAGTGGACAAGGGCCACCTGCGGAGACACAGAGCAGTGACCTCATAGGCAAATGTTCCAATCAGGAAAGCAGGAGGGTTTGCACTTTACACCACTCACCCCAGGAGACCTGCCCTCTGGGTTCCTGATGCTACCGTGGGTTCCAGGCCATCCTCTGCTGTGTGACTCTCTGCCTCCTGGGAGCAGGTGAACCCTGGACACAGTGTTGGAGCTTCTGAGTTGTCTTTGCCTCCCTGAGATAGAAGCCCAGTGATGAGGGCTGCAGCAGGAGGCTTCCCTGTGCTCTGCCCTCAGCTTCCTTGTCTCCTCCCCAGCAGGCCTGGTGGATTCTAGAGTCACCCAGACCCCAAGTACCTGATCAAATCAAGAAAACAGCAGGTGACTCCAATGTGTTTCCCTGAATCTGGACACTGCTCTGTGTACTGGTACCAAAAGGCCCTGGGTCAGGGCCCCAGTTCCTCATTCAGTATTTCATCAGAACGTGAGAGGGGAAGTGAACCTAGGAAGCGAACCTATCAAGCTGATGCTGAGGTCAGCAGTTCAGTGACGCTCGCTCTGAGCTGAGCTTGAGCTCCTTGGACCTGACGGACTCAGCTGTGTGTCTCTGTGCATGACCAGGTGCCTCTGGGACAAAAGCACTCCTCCCCAGCTCAGGACGTTGGTGTGAGGGTATCGACTGCCAGCCAGCCAGGCCCGAGTCCTGGTAGTGCAGGCAGCCCTTCCCAGACATTCATTTCTTGATATGTTTTAATGCTCCCAAAGATCATGCAAGATAAGTATTATTTTAACTCTTTACACATCTGAGGGGGAGTGGCTTGCCCAGATACTTCATAACTATCAGAACAAGGAATCAGACTCACGTCTGTCCTTGTCACTGTGTTCCTGACCCCATTGAATGATCCTCCCATAAAACAAATATATATATATATATATATATATATATCTTTTAAAGGAGTTGACTCACATAGTTTTTAATAGTGATAAGTCTAAGTTCTACAATATGGGCTCAATGTATTAGAGACCTAAGAAGAGCTGATGTTTAAGTTCAAAGGATGTTAGGTAGGAAGGAATGATAGTCTTATGAAGGCCATCAGCTGGATAACTCTCTTCTACTTAGGAGAGGTTTAGGTTTTTCTTCTATTCATTTCTTCATCTCATTGGATGAGATCCACTATATTATGGAAGTTCATCTGCCTTACCAATAAATATGTTCATCTAACCTGATTTTAAAATCTATTGATAACTTTTCACATATTTATCTCTCACCAAGATATCCTCACAGGGACATTCAGAACAGTGTTTAACTAAATGTCTGTGGCCTGGTCAAGGTGACACATAAAATTATTTACCCCAGCAACTTCCAGGCTTGCTTAAGAATTTAGTACTTATGAAGTCCCTAGCACATAATAGGACTCTGGATTTCTTGATTCCCTTTGCTAATCTCTGACAGTTTCTTCCACTGTTTCTTAGGTGCAAAGATGGAGACGGACACATTTTGCCTCCAGCTGAGTCCTTTAGAAATCAAAAAAGTGAAAATATTTCTGCCTGATGATTTAGTGCATGAAATTAGCCAGAGCATGTAACATACATCGCTCCTCAGGCTTGTTGACCCTTGAACAATGTTCTGTTTAGAAGCACCGAGTAACCGCCAATCCTGCAGTTAGAAATCTGCGTATAACTTCACATTCGACAGTCTGTATTTGAGGTTCTACATCGCAGATTCAACCAGCCACAGATAGTGTAGTACTGTAGTATGTATTTATTAAAAAGTAGATCCACACAGTTCAAATATGTGTTGTTCAAAGGTCAGCTTTCTCTATATATAATAAACATTACACATTATATAATTGATAGGTTAATGGTTTAGATCAATTTATACATTATGTGTCCATGTAACATCCACCCCATTAGGATAGTGAACATTTCCATCACCAGAAAGTTTCTTCATATCACTTTCCTATGCCACTCACCATCCTTCATCATCAACAATATGATATCTATTGCTATAGCTTTGTTTTGCTCAGTCATATTTATAGTGAATATTTAGGTTCTCTACCTATTAAAACACCATGTTTCCCAGGTGGCACTGGTGGTAAAGAATCCATTTGCAATGCAGGAGACATAAGAGACAAGGGTTCCATCCCTGGGTCAAGAAGATCCCCTGGAGAAGGGCAGGGCAACCCACTCCAGTAATCCCAAGGACAGAGCAGCCTGGCAAGCTACAGTCCATGGGGTCACAAAGAGTCGGACATGACTAAGGTGACTTAGCATGCTTGCATACACCTGTTAAAACAATTCCTCTTTAGAGCACAGCCAAATATGTAAGACAGTTAAGTGTTCCTGGAAAGTGTTATGGTTAAAGAAGTGCTTGAAATCACATGAACACCATATCCACCTGTAGGAGAATCCTATCTCAAGATGGATGGTTTGATACAATATCTATCACAATGTCTTACCACCTGATACAAGATGTTTTTATAAACTTATTTATTCACTTTCATATATATTTTTTCTCATGAACCCATTCTTTGAAGTAATTTTATCATGATATTTTGACAAGAACTCATCATCTTTTTGTCAAAGTTGTTGATATCCCATGAGATACAAATATAATAAAGTCTCACATTCACTCAACGTGTGCCCCATTGGCCAGACCACGGGCAGTAGAATTTTGGTTATGTACAGGAGGAGAGTATTGTTTGCTTCAACCCTAAATATCCAAGCACAGGCTTTGAGCTGGAACTCTCCACTTTCTGCTCTGGCCTGGCACGGGCACAGCTCTCCTGTGTGGTATGTTCTTCCATCTCCTGGATCAGGGGTGTTCTGAGCAGAGAGGTGAAACCACCTGTGGGCTTGCTAGGCTCCAGTTCAAGACTTGCTCTTGTGGTTACAACATGAGGTTCCTTCTTGCTTCTGACTTGAGATCCTGCATCTTTGACTCTCAGGTCATAGGAAAGGTTAGTCACCCAATCCCAAGACATGTGGTCACAGTCGGTGGAAACCAGCACACAGGAGGTCACCACAGTCATGCACTCAAGACTAGCTGCAAGATTTGCAGGGCCCACATTTATTGTACATGGAAGGAAATGAACAGGACTGTGGTCAATTAGACAAAGTAGATACAAACACCTGAGGGAGTATTTGTGATGCCTGAGTCATAAAGGGCGGCATGAAGCCAGAAGGATTTTCTCTTGAGTTTCAAAACTACAGAAATCCCTTGATGTTGTTCAGCTGCAAAGTCCTGTCCAACTCCAACAAGTTGTTCAGTCCTCTCCAACTCTCTGCAGCCCCATGGACTTCAGCATGCCAAGCTTTGCTGTCCTTCACTATCCCACTTAGCTTGGCCAAAGTGCCATCCAACCATCTCATCCTCTGTCATCCACTTCTCCTTCTGCCTTCAATCTTGCCCAGCATCAGGGTCTTTTCAAACGAGTCAGTTCTTTGCATCAGTGGCCAAAGTATTTTAGTTTCAGCTTCAGCATCAGTCCTTCCAATGAATAATAAGGACTGCTTTCCTTTAGGATGGACTGGTTGGATCTCCTCACAGTCCAAGGGACTCTCAAAAGTCTTCTCCATCACCACAAATTGAAATGATCAATTCTTTAACACTCAGCCTTCTTTATGGTCTGATACATTCATATGTGACTACTGGAAAAACCATAGCTTTGACTAATATCTCTGTCTTTTAATATGCTGTCTAGGTTTGTCTTAGTTTTTCTTCCAAGGAGCAAGCATCTTTTAATTTCATGGTTGCAGTCACCATCCGCAGTGATGTTGGAGCCTAAGAAAATAAAGTCTTTCACTATTTCCATTGTTTCTCCATCGATTTGCCAAGAAGCAATGGGCCTGGATGCCATGATCTTAGTTTTCTGAATGCTGTGTTTTAAGCCAGCTCTTTTACTCTCCTCATTCACCTTCATCAAGAGGCTCTTTAGTTACTCTTTGCTTTTTCCCATTTGGGTGGTGTCATCTGCATATGTGAGGTTGCTGACATTTCTTCCAGCAATCTTGGTTTCAGTTTGAGCTTCATGCAGCCCGATATTTGGCATGATGTACTCTGTATATAAGTTAAATAAGCAGGGTGACAATATACAGCCTTGACGTACTCTTTTCCCAATTCTGAGCCAGTTCATTATTCTACAAAAGTATGTAGATAAATGAACATACATAGTAGTGAAGAATTATCTCTGGAATATAACACACTTAAAGTTGTAAGCTGTTACAGCAAGGATAGAACCACAAAAGGCTTATATCCATTGATCTGAATGGGTCTCCCTATTGTGATCAGTTCACTTAGGTTCATTTCTACTTTGAGCCTCTGGGGGAAGGGGCGTGGCCCCCTGTGTGACAGGTTGGCTCTGGGGCCAGGCAGGGACAGTGACATCTCAGAAGGACTCCCTGGAGAGCCCCTCTCCCCTCTCATCCACACTCAGACCAGAGGGCCCTACGCCTGCCCCGCCCCCGCCATGAGCCCCTGCCTCCTGGGCTGTGTGGTCTTCTGTCTCCTGCAGGCAGGTGAGTCTTGGGGGCAGGGTCCCCGTGGGGGTGCCTGCACGAAGCATGTCCGCTGTGACTGCAGCATCGGGCCTCCTTCTCCACAGGGGCGGTCCACGCTGGTGTCACCCAGGACCCCAGATTCCAGGTCGTGACAACAGGACAGAGCGCCACACTGAAATGTACTCAGGATCTGGGTCATGACCGCATGTACTGGTACCGACAAGACCCGGGACTGGCGCTGAGGCTGATCCATTACTCAGCTGGGACTCCATACACGGAGAAAGGAGATGTGCCTGACGGGTACAGCGTCTCCAGACCAAGCACAGAGAACTTCCCTCTCACGCTGAAGTCTGCCAACCGCTCCCAGACATCTGTGTACTTCTGCGCCAGCAGTGACTCCACGGCGCTGCACAGCCACCTCCTCTCTGTGCAAAAAGACAGAAGAGGGCCTTGCAGCTGGAACGTGGGGAGCCCCTTGCAGACTCCTAGCACCTGGAGACTCAGAGCCCACAGACACATACTGGCAGCATAGCCTGCAGTTTTGATCTTGGCTGGCACAGACCTGACAACAGGGCCTCATGGACATGTGTCCACTTTCATGCTCTGTCTTTTCAGCGTAGCTGCCAGGTGAACCTAACATGCTTCCAGCTCTGACTCCTAGTATCAGTCTGAACAGGAGGCCTCCAGGAGGGAAGGGTGTTGGGAAATCAGATACATCTAGACCCTCTTGTCTCTCCCCGGGCACCACATGCCTGTCGCTGTGGAAGGTCCTCCCCCAGGCTGGCCCTTGTCTGGTCTCTGCTCTTGTCCAGCTTCCGCAGATGTGGGGTCTTTCCTCTCTCACCTAAGGGCCCTCGTTCTGACCCTTCTCTACTTCAGCCTAGCTGCCCCTCCCTCATCTGGGTCATGTTCTTGCCCGTCACCCAGGGAACCTCGTAATGATCCTGACGTGGTCCTGTTTGAGCAGGCTCCCTCGGCCCTCAGAGAGAACACCCCTACAGTCAGTGATGAGTCACCCGTGATCCCTCTGTGGCCCCTCAGCAGAGGGAGGGATGAGCAGTGAGTGTGTCTCCACCACGGCCTGTCTGTAGCATCGACATAGCCTGGACCCTGATGCTGGGAAAGACTGAGAGCAGAAGGAGAAGGGGGTGGCAGAGAAAGAGGTGGTTAGAGAGCATCACCGACTCAACAGGCATGAATTTGAGCAAACTCTGGAGACAGTGAAGAACAGGGGAGCTTGGTGCGCTGTGATGCAAGGGGTCTCAAAGAGATGGACTCGAGTTAGCAATTAAACACCACCACAACCAATAAAAACTAACCCAAGTTTGCAGCAATTCCCTCATCACAATCTTCTAAAAGTCAAAGTATTAAATATTTCCTGCATGAACACATTTCTTTTCTCGTGAAATAAAAATCATAAATCAGCTAAGGCAGGCTTGTTTGTGAGATTGTGTTTCTAACTGTGTGTATGTTCTTTAGAAAAACAAAACAAGAGAAAAACAGTGCGATTGGCCAACAGTGAAATATTTTCTACTATGAACGCATCCCATGACTATTAAATCTGGGCAGACAATCTTGGTTTCCACACATAGACCACATGGGGACGCTGTGGAACTGCCAAACTCCAGAAGTTTCTGGGGCAGAGCAAGGGGACAGTGGTAGTGCCTGGGACGAGCAGTGTTAAGAGAAAGCTTCATTTGGTGTTTTTATCTCTACAAGCCTGACTAGCATAGGCACTAATTTGCAGGCTAGCTGTCCCAGCTGGGAGCCATGAATGTCAACTATGCAATGCTGAAGGAGCCTCTGAGGGTGCAGAAAGAGTGAAGGGTACGGAGCCGGGATTTGGTAGGAAAGAAACAGAAAAGGGAAACACCAGCCTGAAGAGAGAAGGGAACGAGCCACGGGGAAGGGCGTCCACCATAAATCCAGCCTCGCCCAGACCAGCAGTCCAGCTCACACATCATCTAAGAGACTGCAGGACAGAGCAGGGTTCCTGGATCAGCTGACCTGGAAAGGGGTCAGGTTCCCGGGAACCACAGGGGCAATGACATCAGAGCAGTGACGTCACTGTCTCACCTCCAATCAGAGGACAGAGGCCCAGAACCCCAGCTCTCAAAGAAGCAGAGCTCTGAGCAAGGAGAAGCCAGACTGCTCTGCCCCTCCTGCCATGGGCTGCAGCCCCGTCTGCTGTGTGGCTCTTTGTCTCCTGGCAGCAGGTGGGTCCTTGGCACAGGACAGAATCCGTGTTCCTAACCTGACTGCCTGAAACCGAGGCACCATCGGGTTCTCTCCTGGTTTCTTTCTCAGCCCCAGTCTTCTTCCCCCACAGGCCTTGTGGATGCTGGAGTTACCCAAACCCCAAGATACCTGATTAAAGCAAGAGGACAGCGAGTGACACTGCGATGCTCCCCTGTCTCTGGACACCACTCTTTGTACTGGTACCAACAGGCCCTGGGCCAGGGCACCCTGATTCCTCATTGAATATTTCAGACAGGAAGTGAGGGGAGAAGCACAGCTCCCAGATCGATTCTCAGCAAAACAGTTCAGTGACTCTCGCTCTGAGCTGAACTTGAGCTCCTTGGAGCTGACGGACTCAGCCGTGTATCTCTGTGCCAGCAGCCAAGACACAGCCCTGCATGATCAGGTGCCTGTGGAACAAAAACTCTCCTACCGCAGCTCAGGAGGTGTGGTGAGGATGACTGCCTGCCTTCCAGGCCTAGATAGATCCGATACCCTCTCCCAGACATTCTTCCTCTGCTGTGTTTTAATGCTCCCAAAGATCATCCTAGGTAAGTATTATTTCCCTGTTTATACATCTGAGTGGAACTGAGTTGCCCACGTCTCATATTTCATTCCTTTCACGGCAAGGTATTTGGTTCAAGTCTGTCCTCATCTCTTGTGATCTTTGCCCCCCAAAACTGTCCCCCACAAGAATAAATAATATACACATAGACCAAATACATAGACACATACATGTTTTAAAGCAATTGGCTCACACTGTTGTTAAGACTGGTAAGTCCAAAAGCTGCAGGCTGGTCTGGTGCTACTAGAGACTGAGGGGGAACTCATGTTTAAGTTCAAAAGCAGAAGAACTAGTGACCCAGTGTGAAGGCCATCAGCTGACAATTATCTCTTGCTTGGGGGAGGATCAGTGTTCTTTTGTCTATTCATCTCTTCTTCTGGTTTCATGAAGCCCACCTACCTTATGGAGGGTCATCTGCTTTACCAATTAAAATGCTAATCTAATCTATTATTAAAATTTACCTATTGACATATTACCTTTTCCAAAAATATCCCTTTTAGGAGCACCCAGAAAAATAAAGCTAAATATCCATGGCAGTCTAGTGGACATATTTTATTAGTCAGGACACCATCTTCCAGGGTTTCACAGGAATTTAGTAGCATGAAGCCCCTGGCAGGTAACAGGACTCTGGATTTCTTGACTCCCTTTTCTAATCTCTGACAGCCTCCTCTAGTGCTTCCTAGGTACTAAAGTAGATATGGACACATTGTGACTTCAAGCCCTATACTTGAGGTCTTCAGATGCCACAGGAAAGAAAGTAATTGTGCTTGCTGGTTCACTACATGAGATAAACAGAGCATGGAATGTACCCTCAGGCATTTTTGCATCAACTTTATTGGCATAAGAATTATAGTAAACTTTTACATAATGTGAAGTTTGGGGGCCCTGACCCAGCCCTAACCCTGCTGTAAAAGTTTGCTTAAATTCAGTCAACCCTCTGTATTTATGATTCCACAGCTGCAGATTCAACCAGCCACAATTGTGTAGTACTGTCAAAAGTGAAAGCCACTCAGTTGTGTCTGACTCTTTGTGACCCCCGTACAGTCCATGAAATTTTCCAGGCCAGAATACTGGAGTGGGTAGCCATTTCCTCCTCCAGCAGATCTTCCCCACCCAGGGATCCAACCCAGGTCTCTCCCATTGCAGGGTGATTCTTTGCCAGATGAACAACAAGGTCTGTAGTTAGTATCTATTAAAAATTCCACACAAAACTGGACCCATGAAGTTCAGAAAAGTGTGGTTCAAGGGATCCACTGTATATACAATAACATTACACACTGTGCAGTGAACCGAAGAATGGTTTTGATCATCCATCTGTATGTGCCCATGGAACATTCACCTGTAAAGACTGAGAACATTTCATCACTAGAAGTTCTCTCAGGCCCCCTTCCCAGGCCTGACTTTTTCCCTGACAGTGAACAGTATGATTTCTGTTGCTGTCATTTTGTTTTAAAGTTCTCTTTGGCCCAGAGCTAAATATTTAAAACATTACTGCTGGAAAGGATTATGGTTAAAGACTTTCTTGAAAGCACGTGAGCACCATATCCATGTCAGGGACTATCCTATGTGGAGATGGATCGTTTGGAAAATGACCATTCAAAGATCTTTCCTGCAGGTAAAACCTTTTTTTAAAAAAAAATTATTTATGCACTTTTAAAAATTTCCTTCTTGTGCACACATTGTCTGAAATGATTTTATGATGCTCATTTGACAGGAAGTCCTCATCTCCTAGCAAATTCCTTTGAGGTCCCATGTGAAACACAGATAACAAGGCTTCCTGTGCACACACTGGGTCCTGGGACTGAGCAGGCAACCAGATGCAGCAACTTTGGTGAGAGATCATTTCATGTCAGGAGAAGCTTGCCTTTGAGTTTACCGCATCGTTCAAGTCACATGAGTTGAGTTGAAAAGTCCCCCTTTCTGTAGCGGCCTGGCCTGGGCACTAGGCTCTTGTGTTGTGGGTCCCACTGTCTCTCAGACCAGAGATACTCTGACCAGAGGTGTGGATCCCGTGGACTTGCCAGGCCCCAATTCTAGGCTTGTTCTTGTGGCTACAACATTGGGCTCATTCATTGCTGCTGACTTTATTTTCTGTGTTTTTGTCTCTGAGGCCCCAGGAATGGTTAGTCCCCCAGACCCCAGACGTGAGACCAGCACATCAGGAGGTCATCACGGTCACCTGCTCATGTCCAGGTGCATGATATTCAGGTTCAGAAATTATTGAGAAGTTGAAAATCACAGCAGCTGAGCATGGCGGCTAGTACAGGGTCCTTCTAAATGTGAGGTATGAGCAACGTGATAGAGTCTAGGGCTCTAGAATGTCAGTCACTGAATGGCTGCCACTTTCACAAGGAAGTATCCCATGTAATGGATGTCTCAGGTAGAATCAGAGCATTTTTCTTTTGCCCTGGGGTCAGCCATCTCTCCCGACATGCCTCTATGTCTGGACTCCTTTGTGCCAACATGTCATCCGTGGTGCTGGGCAGCCAGCTTCTCTCCTCAAAGCAAGGTGGGCCACAGGCCTGAAGTGGTTCTGCCCGCTGCTCCCCCACCCCGCAGACACCAGAAGCGCGTGCTCAGGTGAACACGACGGCGTTGAGCCGGGATTTGACAGGCACCTTGTCAGTCGGTGAATTAATAAGAAATAGAGCCCAAGAATTCCTCAGGTGTTGATGAGCCTGCCCTAAGGTTGAGGAACCAGATTCCAGAATCATTGTGGGTGAAAGGACACGAACAGGACTGCTGTCAATTTAACAATGTAGAAACATGTGGGATTATTTGGGACATGTGATTCATAAAGGGCAGCAGGAAGCCCTGAGGAATTTCCCTGAGATTCAAAACTACAGAAATAATAAACTAGAGATCAATGAACTGAATATATGTATTAATGAAGAGCTATTTCTGGAATAAAGTGTCGATAAAGTTGTGAACAGTTTTAGGGAAAGTTTCCAACAAATTGTAAGGCTTATGTTCATTGAGCTGGATAGGTCTCCCCGTTGGGAACTGTTCAGTTCAGCTCAGTCGCAGAGTCGCATCTGACGTTTTTCAACCCCATGGGTTGCAGGACGTCAGGCTATCCTGTCCATCACCACCTCCCGGAATTTACTCAAACACATGTCCATCGAGTTGGTGATACCACCCAACCATCTCATCCTCTGTTGTCCCCTTCTCTTC